TATATATATATATATATCACTAGCACTAGCACACGCACACATGTATGTAGATATGTTCAATGGGCCGCGTGTCAGTTGTCAGTTAACCACCTTGTCCTTCATAGAAGTCGTTGGTAGACATTGTCTTCCCTCGCACAATCGGCGAATCCTCATCCCAACAGGCCGCTAGGAAATCAAGATTTGGATACAAGAATCGGATACAAATCGACTATTTAGAGAACTTAATGACGTTATGATATCAGGATTTGGATACAGGAATTGGATACAAATCGACAATTCAGAGAACTTCAGGACGTTATGAAATCAGGATTTGGGTACACAAATCGGATATAAATCTACAATTTAGAGAGGAAATGGATACGAATCGACAATTTAGAGAAGTGAAAACACCACAAGGATCGGGTTAGACGAGACCACCAGATTTGCACTACGACTCTTCGGCCTATCAGGAAGTCGTATCACTATCCGTTGAGTCCGGAACGAATAAAAATAAAAATGAAAATGAAACTTTACGCAAAGACCAAAATATAGTTATATAAAGATCCGAATGTAGTTAATTGGGAATTGGGACAGTAACACGCCGAATTGGTTCGCATCATAGGAACCGGAGCTGAGCGTGCACACAGAGGAGCCCAAATATACTATATATGGTAATCGGAGTAAAACTTACAATAGTGAAGTAGGTATGGTGTATGTGCATACAATGCTAACTGCATATCACCACAGAACAGAAAGGTATAATACTAAACCCAAAACCCTATATGGACACTCAGATGAGACCGAGTCAAGCAGATGTGGTATTGGCGAACATATTGATGCCCGAATATTGCCACAAAAACCCCAAACTCAAAGATTGATAAAAATAGAACACAGCGTTACCATAAAAATAATGAACCCTAGCACAGATACCGTATATCACAACACAGTGCCACCACCGTAGACACGTTCAGAGCACCTGCAGGACGACACACGTGTACACCACACCGTATATGCATACCGTTTTGATGCAAGAACTACCATTACATCCCTATATATATATATATATATATATATATGATAATAATAATAATAATAATAATATATAATAGTATATGTATATGCACATGAATACACACACACACACATACACATACACTCTCTCACACACATATATATATATATCTATATCTATATGAAAATTTATATATAGATACATACATATACATGTAAATATGGTAAGTCATGGGCGAAAGCACCTATTCTACACAGCAAGGATCACATAGTGAGTTGGTACACTCAAAAGAGTCTTACAAGGGGTTCTCGTTAGTTTCAATATCCAAAAGAACATAGTATGCACTCATTGAGAGTACATCGATTTCTTATAGAAATCGTTACTTATCGACTTATAGTAGAACGAAATTGGGCACCAGATTATATCAGGAGAACTATACAAATCACCACTCAACGACGTCTAAAAGATGTAAGTACAGAAGTATACGCATCTGACGAATCATATATACATGCTAATTTATATATATATATACATATATATGTATATGTATATATATATATACATACATACACACACACAGACATATATATATATATATGTATGTATGTTTATATATAGATATAGATATATAGATATTTATATAGATATAGATATATAACATATACATACATACATAT